AAATTCTGAAAACTCATAAATTTCTACTCGAGCTGAACTGGATTGCAGGAAGGAGAAGATTTTGCTCATGAGATTCTTGATGAGCGTACTAAACGAGCTGAAACATGGCATAGGAATGCTGCAAGTAAAGCAGCAGTTTCAAAACCAGCAGAACCCATCACATGTGCAACCTTTGCCCAAGATGTTATCGAAGGTAGAGCACAGCTTTCACAAGCACATGAACACAAGCACCAACCCATGATATTTGGACCAGCTAGCCTTGTCGGTGGAAGGTTAACTAGTGAGAGAGAGAGAATGGCAGCACAAGTCTTCCAACCAGGTTATAGGTACGCCATATAACTTTTGTGATTGTTTATTTATTTATTTTTGTTCATTACTCATGTAGTGTTTAAGACTGGAAAGCATAGCCTGTGTCACATGATGAAGACCAAGAAAGGTATTAGTTCTATATTGCTCGACTATGAAATCTATGTTGGTAGACTCTGTAAAAACTAAGGGACTGTCTTTTAAACGAAAAGGATGATGTATAATAAAAAAAAAAATGAAAACTAGATTTCTGCCATTGCTTTGTCATTCCCTCAGGGGCATGTAGATCTTACTATAACATGTTCAATCAAGCCCGTGCAACTAATAGCATATCTATTGAAGGACAATTTGGCTAGAGTTTTATGCATTCGTGAGTTTGTGAAAGCTTTATGTGTGGTTTTCGCTTAAATTGTAATTGCTTTCTTTTTCATCTGGCATATATTAGTGCGGAACTTCATACGGTTTAATCTTTTGGTTCTTTTTCTTGTTCTCTTTGACTGTGACAAGTTGCCAGAAAGTTCTTTGTTTCTTCATCTTTTACTATATTGGATAGTGCTGCTATCAGTTCCTCTTGGTGTCTCTGCTGCTTGGATTGCGTTGCATGCTCTGTACAGTTGTCTTTGTCTGTAACAAGTTGGCAGAAGGTCATTTTTTCTTTTATCGTTTGCAATATTAGAGTTTGGTATGGTACCTATGCTTCTCAAATCAGTATGCGTACTTCTTCGCTCAGGAATGTTACATGTAGCAGCAATTGCTTTTCGATTGGGAAAGAAAGTATATGGTCTGGGTCACTACATGCCAGGTCGCCTGACTCCCTTTCATGTCTCATAGGCTACCAACCATGAGTATAGAAGAAGCTGGCTTACGAGAAATGGAGATGATGAAGAAATGGCAAGAGTGGAATGTCAAGCTCATGGAAGAAGCCAACTCTTCGTGGCACAAGGAGGGCACTACTTCGACCGAGGATGAAGATGCAGAGGTGGAAAAAGCAAGAGCATGGGACGATTGGAAAGATGACCATCCTCGTGGTGCAGGCAATAAGAAACTCACTCCTTGTGGGTAAGTTCCAGGGCTTACGTTCTTGTGCCCCCCTGTCATGGAAAACCTCAACATAAACCTAAACCTTTGTATCATATGGTACTGAAGATATTGATTTGTGTGTATCTTAAAATAGTGCTTTTGATAGTTGGACAAGTTTGGGGAGCAAGATATGTTCTCATGGATCATGTTCAGAGTTGGCCAGCTCGTTGTTGGTGGCAATGACACATTGATCAAGTTTGTTCTCTTTTTGGTGTGGTCGTCAAATTTACTGAAACATTAAAAGTCCTGCGATTTTTTATTTTCCTTGAAAATGGTAAGTGATTCCTGAAGACGAGTTCCGACTCCGATTTACTATCGAGAGTATTTATTAGTAATTGTGGTGTTGGCAATGTAGTGTATGGGTACCGATATGTCAGATCGTTATCATTGTTCGCTTTTGTTTTGACAAGTGGAGGGTGTCCTCCTCGATAGACAATTTAATCATTTCGTAGGTGAGGAATGTTTCTTGTCTAAATTTTGTTAGGACTGATTAAAGTTGGATTCAAAGATTGAGGACTTTTGGTGGTCGAATTTGGTCGAGATAAGATGTTTGATTCGATCGAATTTAGTGATTGAGGATGTTTTATGATCCGATATTAGATGCTTTATGGTTGAATTCAACCATATTAGAGATTTTGGACATTTTATGATCAAACTCAATCATGTCAGGAATAAGGGATGATTTGTGATCAAATTTGATCACGTTGAAAAATTGAATTCACTCGCTTCATAGGTATGGGCCATTTTATGGCTAAATTCAACCACGTTAGAAGGTATGAGATGGTTCATGATCATTTTCGATTATGTTAAGAGATATAAGATATTTTATGATCAAATTTGGGCATGGATTTTGTTTTCAATGGTGTTTAATATCATGAATCATCTCAAAGCAGCTTTGGTTATGATGCCAAATCTTCTATGGCTAATCAAGGACATCCATTAGTCGAACTGTAAGGATAGCAGCAACAGGTTAAGCGACGGAGACCAAACAACACCCGACCACCATCGTAAAAGAGGACCTTTGAGTCATCTCTCGGTTGTTGCCTGTAATATGAGAACTTCGGACTTTTCCAACTCCAAACCTTTAGTCAAATCCTCTCAACTTTTAGTCCGAACTAGTCACCGGAAGTTTCATGATGTCTTCTACCTTTATTTCTTCCTCTTCTTTTTAGAAAATTATCTCTAGATCTTAATTCAACATATACCTCTAGTTTAAGGCTCCTTTTGGCATATTATTTGCATATCATGTTGACTCGTTGCTCGATCAACTTGGATAAACTTTTCAATCTACTCTTTCAAGTCAAAGTTATCTTTAAATTGATAGTATTTAAATTTATCCTTTCGAGTAGTTAAAAGAACTCATGAGTTGAGGAGCTCTATAGAGACTCTTCTCTCTAATACAGAGGAACGAACACTTCGTACCAAGTTGCTAAAAGGAGTGAAGTCCTTTCGTGGGATGGCCATGTTAGAATATGTGGCCCTTTTATAATTGAATAAGATATATAATAGAATAACTAATTGAGTTCCGCCAATAGACTAAGTCCACTACGGAACAATTCCTCGGAGATATCCTTGATGGGAGGACTCTTCCTCGGAGATATCCTTGATGGGAGGAAATCTTCTGAGATCTCATCGTAGACTTTCTGCTCTCGCCTATAAAAGGACAGGGTCTCTAGGGGTTGAGGGTGTGTTCAAATCCATCAATCTGTGTGGGTCCTGTGAAAGGATAAGAAGAGAGGAGAAAGGGTCACTCTCCTTGCACTCCTTCAGACTGCGTGCGATTGGATTAAAGACGGTCGAATTAAAGACGGTGCTTAGCAGATCAACGGGATCTCTGAACATATGACATAAGGTACGCATCGTATAATTAGATCTATGCATTGATTTCAATCCTGGCATATGGGTTCCATTCAGATAAGCCAATAGACTAAGTTCACTACGGAACGATTCCTCGGAGATAGGGAGGAAATCTTCTGAGATCTCATCGTAGACTCTCTGATCTCGCCTATAAAAGGACAGGATCTCTAGGGGTTGAGGGTGTGTTAGAGCGTCATAACGCGTATAGACTCTAGGGGTTGAGGGTGTGTTAGAGCGTCATAACGCGTATAGACGCGCCTTTCCGTTGAGGGATTCAGTTATTCTCCTCGACTCTCTCCCCAAAACCCTCTCCCCAAATCCATCAATCTATGTGGGTCCTGTGAAAGGATAGGAAGAGAGGAGAAAGGGTCTACTCTCCGTGCGATTGGATTAAAGACGGTCGAATTAAAGACGGTGCTTAGCAGATCAACGGGATCTCTGAACATATGATATAAGGTACGCATCGTATAATTAGATCTATGCATTGATTTCAATCCTGGTATATATGTTATTTTCGCATTATTGACATAACATAATTACAGATCTTTATGCTTACAATTGGTATCAGAGCCCGGTTTTTGAAATCATGCATTAGATCTGTAAATTAATTTACGATGCATAATTACCTTTATCTTGG